GAATGCAGCCGCTGGCCCGGACCTGCAGGCAGGCTGGGACAGACAGATGGCTGTGTATTTCCCAGAGAAATGCCTAGAATTCAGAGGGTTTGTGAGTAACCCACTGTTGTACAAACACGGGAGCGCAGTGCCAGGAGCCAGGCAGAGTATGCTGTGTGCTCAGAGAATGGCTCTGCAGGCTGTTCCTGAGGAATGAGCTTTGAAATGAACCTGTGGATGAGAGCAGGAGGGTTTGAGTTGCCTCAGGGTGCTGGTTGTGGTTTGGGGGATGTTGGAGATGCTGGATAGGAGGCAGGTTGATGTTTGGGTGATGAGCAGCAAACAGCAGCACCTGGTGCTGACACTGATCGTTTCACTTGTCTCTTGGGGCCTGATCCCAAACTCTCACCTCTTCCTTCCTTGTGGGATGTTTCTTTGTCTTCCTGATGAGAGAGGAATGTTGTGCTTTCCAGATGAAGTCACCACCATGAGCTGCTCCTGTTGACCCACCCATGACTGCTTTGTGGCCGGCAAGGCAGTGCCTTATCAGATGGGATGGTCACCAGCTGGTGTCCACTCTGCCCCTGCCAGCCCAGTGACGTTTGAGGAGGTGACTTGTACTAAAAATCTGCTGCAAGTGTGTTCACCTCCTTTATAAAGGCTTCTTCTTTAGGATGGAGCTTTCCAGTCCCACAGCTCAAGGCAAAATTCTGCTCTTTCCCAAGGGCTAGGACATCATTGGATGTTCCCTGAGCCCAATCCTGTCCAGTGCCACAGTCCTGGAGATGCTGGATATTTCCTGCACAGTTTCATTAGTCTCAGGAGGGATGTGTGTGTGCTCTGGAGATGGCACTGAGTGCTGGAGAGCTGTGGGGGAGCTGTGGGGGTTCATAGAGGAATCTGTGGCTGCTGAAATACATGGTGTTCCTTCTGGGAAGGAACACACCCTGCTTCCTGGCTGCTGTTGTCTGTGCTCCACGTGTGTTCCTGTTCACCAGGACGAGGTTTTTCCAGTGGCAGCCACGTCTCAGCACTGGGGTGGTGGTGCACAGGAGGCACATCTGCCTGCCACTGTGCAAGAGAGCCTGGGAGGAAAGTCCTTGCATGGCACAGTGGGATTCGCATCCCGGAGCACCAGACAGCAGTGACCTCTGCCTGCACTGGGGCAGGGAGGGGCAGGCAGTGCCAGAGCCTCTCAGCTTCCTGCTCTGGCTCCTGAATTGCAGAGCTCTGCTAGGACAGAAACAGGATCCAGAGAGCCCAATCCCCACACCGTGAGCTGCAGAGGCAGTGTGCTCGCTGGGCTCCTGCCAGAGCCGGAGACAATAGGAAAAGGCCTTTCTCCCCACACCCTGTCGCTGGCCAGTTCATGCTTTGGCTGATCCCCCTGTTTTTTTCCATCACAGGCATCCCAACTCTCATCGTCCTGGACTCCAAGGGAGACGTGATCACGCGGCAGGGGCGTGTGGAGGTGCTCAACGACATCGAGTGCCGCGAGTTCCCCTGGCACCCCAAGCCTGTGCTGGAGCTGACCGACTCCAACGCTGTGCAGCTGAATGAGGGCCCCTGCCTCGTTCTCTTTGTAGGTATGGAGCATCTCTGCTGTGCTTGGGAAAGGGGCTGGGCTGCTTGGCAGCTCGGCTGGAGCTGAGAACCTGTCTCTGGTGATGACTGTGTCTGTGGGAAGGGATATCCACCCGTTTTCCACAGTACTGTGTGCTCACATATCTGGGGAGGCTGTGGGGGGAGAAAGGTCCACATGGAAGCCCCTCAGGACAGATCTGGAGCCTTTCCTGTACCAGAGCAATGTGCTGCCACAGCTCAGAGGGGTTTGCCAGAGCCTGCTGTGCCCATGGGTCTCCTGCAGCTCCCACACACCGACCCAAGGGATAGGATGGAACAGGGATTTGCAGCGCAGAGGAGCTGTCATATCAAAGGTGTGGTGGTTGTGGAGAGGAATGCTGATTAGGTGTTGGGGAGTATGAGAATTACACTGTCACGGCTGGTGGTGGTGGAGATGGGAAAAGCCTTTCTGGTGCAGGGACTTCAGGCACACGTGACATTCCAGAGGAGGCAGAGGAAATGTCTCTGGGAGGGATTATAGCTCTGTGCTGGAAACCACAGCTCATGGCTTGAGTCCCTGGGCTGAACAGGGCTGTGGTAGTCAGAGGAGCCTCTTTCATGCTCTGC